AAAAAAAAAAAAATTATCAATAAACACCAAAGGCCTTTCTTACCTATATCTGCCACTGAAAGATAAACACTCTAAGAAGCCCCTAAAAATGACTTATTCCTTGCTTACACTCTAAGAAGATCTCAGATGAAGTGAATAATTTTCTGCTTTCAACACGTCTGTTCACATCTCCGACATAGCAATGTCATAGACAATACAGAACTCAAAGACCATAATACAAGCATTTTCTACTTCTCAACATAGCACATCAGGTCTCCTAACTTCTTAGGTAATTGAACATATTACAGGCACAGAGGCATATAATAATAAAAACCAATTTGCAACCTTGGCACAAAAGGAAGCATGTTCTTTTCCCACTGACACTAGTTTCTTCCTCAAAGTATCAACTTTTCCTAAGACCTGTCAATCAAGAAGAATATTAAGATTTAACATAAGGAAAAGCATAAATATGTGCTATGACATGGAAGAAGTTAAAGTTCTTATGACCCATATTAGAGGTCAACATGAAGGAAAAAGGGGAAAAAAAAAAAGAAATGTAAAACATAATGGAAAATGATCACTCAGCAAGATGGAATTAAGAAGGTTGGTTGCAAATGAACTAGAGCCACATCCACTGCAGTTCACTACAGAACAAAACAACTCCGGAAATCCAGATAACAAAAGGAAAGAATGTTGAAGCCTAAACATTTACCTCCTCGTAGTTCCCATCTCCAAGAGTCAACTCGATTAGAGACCGTTCGTAAGGGTGCAAATCTTTTTTGTCTGGGAAATTCTCCTTGTACGTCCTCAAGGGAACTGCAAGTTCCTGAAGTTAATAACGACAGGAAGAATACCAAAACTCAGTTTCTTTCTTCCCCCGAGAGACAGAAGCATTTTAATTTTCAAGGATATGTTTGAGAATTTACTTTCATCAATGCATCAAGTTGTTTGGCGCCTTTGTTTCTTTCACGCTTTGCAGCATTAGCAATACCTATCGAACATTCATATAAAGATCAGACAACTTTTTAACAAGAGATTGCAATAATGCTTGAAGTTAAGAGACAGGCGGGCTCTTGTAAGTCTAATCAATTACCCTTTGTGGCTGAGACCCTCTTCGCTTTCCTCAATGCTGAGTACAGAATATCAACCGACGGCATCACCATGGGAAGCTTCTGAAATGCACCAACAGTTTCGAGAGGCTTTTTAACAACTTTGTCCTGAAAACCAAACAACAAAAATCACTTTGGCAGAACCCGAATTTCACAGACACAATCGAAAATAAACATAAATGAAACGACTAATCAGAATAAAATCAATTAGTACCTTAATTTTGCTACTCGATTGATTAGTATCAACGGCAGGAACATAGCTTCCATTGACAATTTCATATGCAGTCGTCTGCATTTGTTGGCAGAAGCACAAAGTTGGGTGGATAAACTTCTGAGGCACAAATTTGGCACCTACAAAATGCACCAGAGGCAATATTTATATGGGAAGACACAGAAGAAGACCAGGAATACCATGTATACAGTCCAAGTATAAATTGCAAAAGCAGTACCTTTAGGATTATTGTAGCTTCTGAAGAGAAGAGAAGACGTCGACGTGGACGTCTGCCGTAGTTGGAATAGGCTCCATGTGCAGTTCATACTCTCTCTCTCTTTCTCTCAAATTGGCAAAGACACGCAGATACACTGAGAAGAAGGTAGAGGTGAATTGTGGCAGGGTTTAACCAAGCATAACCATTAATATTGGCAGGGTTTAACCAAGCATAACCATTAATAATCGCCTCACATCACATCTTCTACACACAAAAAAGAAGTAATTCGACTAAACAAAACACTACAAGAATGAGAAAAATCCACAAAAAAGAACTAATTCAACTAAACAAAACACTACAAGAATGAGAAAAATCAATTTGAAGCATAAATAAAATACATACCAGCCCTATCGCAACTCCAACGAGTGAGAGAAGGCGACTCCGACGAGTGGCAGAAGAGGCGAAAGTGAGATGAACGGTGAACTCGCGCCGAGGTAGAAGCTCAATCGATTCTGATTTATTCGAGTGAACGGTGAAGAAAAACGGGAAAGAGAGGTAAGTGATCTGATATCTGATATTAATAATAGAGTTAATTGCCATTAAAACCCTAACTTTTTACTCAATTGCAAAATAAACTTAACTTTTTCCATTTTGCATATGAAATCTGAACCTTTCTAATTCGTTGCAATTGTGTCTCAATAATTTTTCCCGGCCACATGAGCTGACATGGCCAATCGGATAAATTTAAGCAGTACCTTAAAGAGTTAATTGTCATTAAAATCCTAACCTTTTATTCAATTGCAAAATAAACTCAACTTTTTCTATTTTGCAGATAAAATCTGAATCTTTCTAATTCGTTGCAATTGTGTCTTAATAATTTTTCCCGGCCACATGAGCTGACATGGCCAATCGGATAAATTTAAGCAGTACCTTAAAGAGTTATTTGCCATTAAAATCCTAACCTTTTACTCAATTGCAAAATAAACTCAACTTTTTCCATTTTGCAGGTAAAATCTGAACCTTTCTAATTCGTTGCAATTGTGTCTCAATAATTTTTCCCGACCACATGAGCTGACATGGCCAATCGCACTTGTAGTTGCTGCTGCTGCTGATTCACAC